TTTGGGGTAACCAAAGGCTTTGGTTGTTTCAACTATTTATGTATTAATTAATATACTGACACTGAAATTTAACTTTTTTACCTATACAAACATATCAACAACTTTTGTGGTATCTACCATTATCAAAAAAGTTTATCATGGCTCATACACAAGTAAGAATGCCTGAACCTTTTTCCTTCCAACCAGCGGAATGGTCACCATGGAAAAAACGTTTCGAAAGATTTAGAACAATTAGTGATTTGGATCAATCATCTGAAGAAAAACAAGTGAGTACACTCATATATGCAATGGGCCCAAAATCAGAAGAAATATTCTCATCCTTCAAAATGACCAACGAAGAAACAAAGTATAAAACAGTCATGGACAAATTTGATGGGCACTTCAATCCAAAGAAGAATATTATTTATGAAAGAGCCAAATTTCTACGTAGAAAACAAGGACTAACAGAAACTGCAGAAGATTTTGTGACAGATTTATATTCTCTTGCTCGTACCTGTGAATGGGGAACGCTTGAAGATGAAATGTTATTAATGGTCATTATTATTGGTATGCGTCAGGTCATTATTATTAAATTTTTATCAGGAGGAGACTACAATGCCAAACATCCTACATGGGGCTCCCGTCTGGCAACTCCTAGGGGTCGACAACTACTGCAGTCAATCCAAGAACGGAACCTTGATACTCTATCGACAGGTGAACCGACATATTGGCCCTCTGATCGTCAAAAAATACCAGACCTTCTTGATTTTTTTGTTACAAAAGGTGTATCCCGAGATTTTGTGACAATATGGAGCCTTGAGGGACACCATGATTTACTGCCAAAGGGGTGGAATTTCTACCATTCCAACATACTATCTGCTGTCTATTGCTAAGGTAAGATTTGAGTACGTCGAGTGCACCACTCTGCAGGCCATATCTTTCAAGTTTCATAAGAAGAATTTGGTGAGAGACACAGTCAAAAGCTCGTGAAAGATCACAGAGCAAGACAGAAGTATTTTGTTTGGTTTCAAAGCATTTAAGCACTACCTGAAGAAGGGAGTCCACTGCCGAAACAGTGGATCTGCCCTTCCTAAAGCCGTACTGCGCAGGCACAAGCAGGTGATGGACTTCAAAGTACTCATACAGTTGTTCCAGCATGACAGCCTCAAACACCTTTGCCAGAATGGGAATTATAGCTATAGGCCTATAACTAGACAAGTTATCATGAGATCCCTTTTTAAAAACTGGTACAACTCTGGAGATTTTCAAGGCGTCAGGAAACACCCCCTCATACAAACAGGTGTTTATGATGATAGCCATGGGAGAGGCAATTACATGAATTATACCCTTAAGTAGTTCAATCGTCATGTCAAAATAATCTTTACTCTTTGACAGTTTGAAGCTATGCACAATGTTAATGATAGCAGTTGGCGTCACAGGCCTCCAAGAAAAGTTAAAAGGTACAATTGGGACTGATTTAAGACTATTTTCTACATTATCGGTACTAGTACTTGGCGTTAGGGATGTGCTACAACCCCCTATGAGTTCCTCTACAGAATTTACAAAATATTGATTAAATTCTTCGGCTTGGGCAAAGGTTTTGCCACTAACAGCGGGCTTTGATTTGGTGGCTTTAATAAAATCCCAAGCTGCTTTACAAGGATTTGCTGCATTGGAGATAGAAGCAGCCACTGAAGCCTGCTTAGCCTCTTTTACTTTTGTTTTGTAATTAAGTGCTTCAAAAACAGACAATTCCTACTTAAGTTAATACACCTACACCATGTTTAAGAATGTAGGCCTAAGTCATTAGTTGAATAGGCTGCACTTTAGTTTACGTCCTACACTCATTCTAAGTTAATGAAAAATATCAGTTAGATTATTCGATATTTCAATTAGGCTATTTCATTAATAACCAAACTTGATAGCCTGGGAATATAGGCCTACTCGAACACTTGATACTCATTCGATCGTTGAATACATTCACTGAAATTTTTAAAAAGGCCTTTATTTACAAGCGAGTTTCATATACATGATTTTCAAACTTACTCAAGTCAAACTAAAACTAAACTAACCTAATATATACAGAAATTTAATATACAAAAAACTACAAAGAAAAAACATTTATAATTTACATTTGTTTTTATGCATTGCGGCCCTGAATGAGCCATACGATTTGGAGCTCTTTATGTCCTGAGGGAGGCCATTATACAACTGCGGGCCAAAATAAGAAAATGACTTTCTTCCAACCTCAAGCCTCACTTTAGGAAAGTGAAGCCTGCGGTCGGAACGAGTACCACGCAGGCAGATCTCCCCCCTGTACTTAAGCCTCTCGCTGAGGTACTGAGGCTCTCCCAGCGTGAGCACTTTGTGGACCAGGCAGCAGGTCAGCCTCCTGCATATTTCATCCATTGGGATGAGCTTTGCAGCATCTCGGAAGGAGGACACGTGGTCAAAGCGGTTAAGGCCAAAAATGAACCTTACTGCAGAATTTTGAATTCTTTGAACTCTTGCCATATCCTCCTTAGAGATGCTGTTTCCATATGCAGGAAAGCAATATGTAAAGGCTGGGAGGACCAAGGACCGCATGAGTTCCATTTTGGCATATTCTGGCAGTAGAGTTTTAAATCTGCTAAGACCTCTCAGTCTACCCACTGCACGTTGAACTGCAGATGTGACATGGTCAGAAAAAGAGAGGTCTTTGTCAAGTACAACACCAAGTGTGTTGACAGTGTCGCAAACAGACAATCTCATGCCATCAAGGGTGATTTCTATAGCAGATTTACTCAATTCCTGCATCATAATGTATGGTCCAGTATGCATGACTACACACTTGTCAACATTCAATCCAAGGCCATTCATGACAGACCATTGAAAAATGCTTTTATTAAGTTAATTGTTTATGCCTGTCACAGGAAATCTGTAACTTAAGTCACAGCTAACTTAAGCTTAAGTAGGCTAGACAACTGTACCTACTAACTTAACCTAATAACACTCAAGCAAATAATAGCAATAGCCTACTGCATTTTGTTACTTTGAATAACAAGGCCTAGGAACAGGATTAGATTAAAACACAACTTACTGGATTTCAACACAACAATTAAATAGTTTTGGAATTTGTTGATGTTTACAATTTAATTTATTAATAATTATTGTTCCTCTCCTTTATCTTCTGTCAACACCAGCCGGACCATTGACAAGATTCATTAATAATTTTTAATGCCGTTATCCTTCACTTCACTTCATTTTTATATCTTTTAACTTCTCACTATAAATATTTCTTGCATTTTCATTGTCCTATAGCATGTAATTGTTGCCATTTCTCGTATAAAAATCGTGTATAACATTTAAATAAATAAATGTTTAGGTTATAAAATACCATATCGCAGTTGTCAGTACGGTCAATTACAATAATTATCGTATCCTACCATAAAATATCGTATATATGGTAGACCTGACTGAAGCGAGCAGCTGATGCCATTCCCACAATGCAACATTCTCCTCAATTATAAGCTATGCCCCAAAATCAGAATTATAAGGTATGACTCAAAATCAGGATTATAAGCTATGGAACAGATTTGGAATTATAAGCTGTGCCACTATTTGACCATTATAAGTTGTGAAACTGAAAATGTTTCATACCTTATAACGTTTTAGAGAAATTGTGGCATAGCTTATAATTTTTCGTGAAAGTGTGGCATAGCTTATAACTGATTATAAGCTATGCCACATTTTCAAGATTATAAGCTATGGAACAAATTCACGATTATAAGCTATGACATTATAAGCTATGAGACCCCACGCTTCTTTGCTGAGTTTAATATCTGATATTCTATATATATAAAATCCAATGTATGTTTGTATATTTGTATGTTTGTCCTTTATGGACTCCAAAACCACTCGACAGATTGTAATGAAACCTTTAAAATTACAAATAATGTCCAAAAACACAACGTTGTGTGATTTTTGTCACATTTCCTTCTAATGTTGATAGACATTGAAAAGAAAACCTCAGAACTTCCCAATTCATACTACGGACTCAGCTTTGACAAATGACGTTTTTGCCCCCAAAATAAACATTATTTAACATTGCATAAATGGAACTGCGAAAACATATGTTCAATGCTATTAGTATAGGATTCGGGCCAACAACGTCATTTGTTTATGTTTATGATCCATACCGGTATTTTTCTAGGATTCGTGTAATTATGTATTACGAGCCAAAAAATATACTCTACTAGCTGGCCCGACAGACGTCGTCCTGTCCTAATGTGGTTTTATGTCAAAAGCTCGTTCATTTTCAAGATGAGCTCGTTCGCATGGCTCAATCACGTCCTGGTTGAAGTTCGATCGCTACGCTCACTCACCTCTAGGTTGGAGCTCGTTTGCTGCGCTCACTTGCCTTCAGCTTAGCTCGTTCGCTACGCTAACTCGCCTCCAGGTTGAAGTTCGTTCGTTACGCTCACTCACCTTTTAGTAGCAAATTAGTTGTTGTAGACCGTCAGCTGTGCTGCGGTTATCGTTCTGGCGCACAACGCTTGGAGCATCACGGTAGTTACGGCGTACGCGCTACGTAAACTACAGCGGTGTGCGCCGGAACCTATGGTAACCATGGCAACCGCAGCACGGCTGACAGTTCTTTTTGTCTATGGTTGAACCAGCTATTAAGATTCTTTGATTCCCTTTAAATATGAGTACTCATAAGGTTAACATGGGAAATTCCAGAGCCACTCCACTGGGGCGGAGCCCTTTTGACGGATCTGCACCAAACTTCACACAAACCATCCTTGAATAATGCTTAATAATGCCTGAAAGTTTCATTACAATCTGTCAAGCGGTTTTGGAGTCCATAAAGGACAAACAAACAAACAAACATACATTGGATTATATATATATATATAGTTTATTGTATTGTCAATTTGGTTGAATACATTTTATTTTGTTGGTATCCTGAAGCACAACAAAAACAATCTAAATGTCAATCAGCTGTTCCTGTCGGCTGTCGTCTTTCTAGTTCACTTTCCCTTCCCTACCAACCAATTCGCCATCAGGAGGAGAGGAGGCGATTAGGCGACTGACTGACCTTAGTGTTAGTACTCTTACCATGGCAGGAATTTTGAAATTGTGCAGTGTCTTGGGGAAGAATTCTGCTTTTGCTAGCGTGGTAAATATCTAAGCTATACATTCTAAGAAAAAATAATAATTATAGGTAGAAATTTGGTTTATTGTTTTATAACTGTCCTTGTTATTTTATTTCACCGATTATGTAATGTCGGTTATTAAGGCACCTGGTCAGCTAGTCAGCTTAAGCTTTTCTGTTCCTTGAATTTCACAAGGTTATATAAGTTTTTTCTATAAATATTTAGATTGGTTTCAAGTATTTGTATAGTGTATTTAATGTTTATAATGAGTCAATAACATTATTAGTCAATCAACTGCATATTTTATTTAGCCTAACCCGTAGCAATTCCTCTTGTAGGCCTTATTATAAGCTACATTCATCCATGATAGGAATTTATAAAAGTCTTTTAAAGTGATTGTGAAAACCCTTAATAGACCAGTAATCACTGATATCCATCTATGATTATGGAAATTCATTATTTGATTAAGTTAGCCTCTGAAGCGCCAAGATATCTTACGTTACGTTTCACAAGACAACCCTCCCGTTTCTTCTGAATTCAATTTGGATGTTCTTGTATTTTAAGGCTACTTTAGCCTTAATAATAAACAACGATCATTTAAATTGTATTTTTATGTTGTATTAGGAATGCTGATCTGCACAGCAATAGGCCTAACTTATTTACACTCTAAAATTAAAGTTACCGGTAATAGCCTAAGTCACAATTATTGATTGATTGGCAATTATTTAGTGTGTCTGCATTGGGATGTGATGTAATTTTTATATGTCTAACTTAATTTACCTAGCCTACAGTTTTTTTCACGCTGAATCCAAAAATGCAATCGGTTTTTGTCGGAGAGATTCCTAAGTTAAGTGGCTATAAAACGTAGGTTAAAATTACGAATCTAAGGTTCATTTAGCGGTACCGGTACTGATGGCGTAGTCTGGTGGCGGTTGGCTGGGTCCGTATGTGGGCTGAGGACTGAGTAAGGAGAGCCTCAACAGGTTCAGTACCGGCCGTCACACTCCTCTGCACGTAGAGTCACGAGACACACGGGAGGGAGTGTGTTAACAGGTTCAGTAGGCCTACCGGCCCTCACACTCCTCTGTATGCAGAGTCACGAGACACCCAGGAGTGAGTGTGTTAATGCGGAATACAATCAATTAGTTTTTAAACTAAATAATAGGCTCTTATATAGGCATTTGGGGAAGGTAGGTCGGTTTTTATGTGGATTCGTGACTGTATTTAGTGTTTTGAAGTTATTTTAGATTAGGAAAGTAGGTAAAGTTTAGGTTATATGAACCGACTCTTTAATTTATGTGCTACCTCTAGACTGTTTTTGCACAATTGAAATTAGTTGGTGAAATGCAATGAAATAAACAATATCAAAATTGCTTGCAGTGCTATTTAAGTTATTTTGTTTCACCCACTTAAACAGACTGCATGTACCGTAAATTAATGAGTCGGCTCATTATAACCTAAACTTTAACTTACCTTATCTAACCTATCTTTAAAGGACTTAATACAGTCATGAACCCACATAAAGTCTGACCTATCTTCCTCACATGTCTTTTCTGTTATCAAATGCAATTTTGAAAATTAAGAGTGATGTTGGGTTAAACTTAGGTTAGGTTCCTGGATTAGATTAGATTAGATTAGCTGAGCTTAATGTAATATAAAAGGGTTTCAATGATAACTACTTTACTGCAGTATTAGGGCTAAAGAAAATATTGTTACAACCATGGAATCTCTCATTTTTAGGGTTTCCTTAATTACGCATATTATTTATTAGTTGCTTATAGTCTACATGAAATTATGCACTGTGGCACGCTTTCACTTTTATGCACTGTGGGATTATGCACTGTCGGATTATGCACTAGATGGGATTATGCACTATGGCAACGTTAACTTAATTAGTTAACAGACGTTGAGGGTTGAAATGAAGACAATCATGTCGTTATTGAAGTGGCAGTGGCATAGCCTCTATTACTTGTATTTTACGAGAATAAATTCAATTTTTTTAAAATAGTTTTTGTTTAGCCTCTGGATTAGGCCTACTGTAGGCCTATTATACTTACAAATACCTTCTCACATGTTTACAACACCTGCAATAGCAATCCTTTGTTGCTGAATTAGGCAACTAGTTTCGGTTCTTATTTTGAACCATCTTCAGGCCCAAAGTGATCACTTCATTCGAAGGTCGTTAACAAACAGAGTTCAATAAATAAAACATATACAAAACACGAGACACGGAACGGGCACACATTACAAAAAACACGAAAAACATGAAGGGACATTGACAATTGATCGTGACTGGGCTGAGGTAAAGTCTAGACCCCTGTCCCCCCACATGACGCAATGCAAATGAAGATTTTTTTGTTAAATGTGACAAGACTATAGTTTAGTGTACCACTACGCACCTGACGATGGAGTTATCTCCGAAACGGCCGTAGTGGAATATCACCCCTGATTGCATAGACATAAGAACCATATAAGTTAGGCCTATATTATTGTAATATTTTCACGCAATCTGCCATACTCAAGAATATCGTAGTTTAAGTATTCAGTTTTTGTATTTCTTTTCTCTAAAAATATCAACATTTTGTGAGTATAGTCCATCCATTGTGTATTTTCTTGGTATTATCTTTACTTTTTGTTTGTTTTTTTAAGGTCAGGACTAAACAATTTTTTCATTTGGTAGGCTAATTTAATCTTAAATCTTAAGATTTTTTTGATAACAATAGCCTATAAGTAAAGTTAAATTAAATTTGGATGTCAGTACCACCATTGAAAATACTATCCCGTATCTTGATACTGTTGAACTAAACTTTAACTTCAAAATATTTTGATTTGAAGAACTGACAATGAAACTCATAGAAGCACAGAAGTTATCAGATACCAGCAATGAAAACCGTTTTTTGATGTTTTTTTTCCATAATGACTTTTTTCATGAAAATTAACCCACTTAGAGGTTATCTGTCTGTAGATTTGTTTAGTCTTGCATTGCAGGGTTATGTAATCAATGAACTTTGATTATGCTTCTGGGGTCAAACTTATATCTTTGTAAGTGCATACCGTATAAAGTTGTAATAAGCTGTGTAATCAAACGGTACCGTACGGGTAGTTGTTTTGTGAAAACACAAATTAAACTTCCACATTATTGATCAAAATTATGGTACCAATTATTTATACCAATTCATTTATATAATTATACTCTAGTAACTGCAAAGTTTAACTTTAAGTATTTCTTAATATTCAGGTTCCCAAATTAATTCAGTTAATTTGTGTTTTTACCAGGAAAGTTTTGGGGTAGTTTTGATTTTTTCCATTTCTTATCTATTTTGGGGTGCTGAATCCGAATCTGAGGTTTGCCAACAAAAATTCTTGACGCAACATTGACAAAAATGAGAAAAATATGGAAAAAATGATATTTTTTGTAATATTTAGCTTATAACTCAGAAACTATCAACTTTTTGTTATTAATCTATATTATAAAAATTAAAGTACACAAAATTTGCTACAAAATGTACCCCTAATGTGGAAATCTCCGATGAACCGTTTAGGCTCCAGATCTATTTGAAAATTGGAACATTTTGTGTTAGTTTTTAAATTTCTCCAATTATTCTGTCAATGACACATATTCATTGTATATGCCCAGGCAAAGGTCTTATATAAATCCAAAGTGTTAAAATTGATTAATTTTGTGTTACTTAACCGTTGACTTTTTATTTAGTGTACAGAAAAGTTACACGAACTGTTGCCGTTTAAATTATCCTCGCTCAGTGGGTTGTAATGAGGCAGGTTCTGGCAAACGTTTCGATGCATTATTTGTGAGCATTCTAGCTTGTTCATCTGGACAAAAAAGGTTAAAAGTAAAAAAAATACACATAATAATAAGTGATGCTAAAATCAAAACTATCAAAATTAAAATAACACCAATCAATTAATCATGTAATATCTTATGCACCTGATGACGTGATATTAAGATATACGTAAATAATAAAATGTTATGTAGGCATATACTGTTGCCAAGCATTTACATTGTGTGTAGATTTGATAGATTGTAGGTCCTAGGGCGTAGGGCATAGGCCTACATGAGAGTGGTAAGGGTTAATTGACTTAAGATAGTCAATACAAATTTTGGCTAGAAAACTAAATCCAACGTTGCCTCACTGCCCCCAACTCAAGCACCTGTGTGGACATAACTCGCTTAGAGTTTACATTTACATTCTGGTGAAAAAAAAAATATTTTTGGCCTATGGTAACGGTGCCAATCACTCTAAGCCATGCATCGGTCTTGAAATTTTACACAGAAAATTTTATAATGGGTGCCAATACGATTGAGGACGTACAATGGGCTGTGATGCTAGAGTCTAAGTAAGTAAGAAAGTAAGTATAGTACCAAACGCACATCTCTTTATTTATTAACTTGTTAAATCTACAAACAATGTAAATGCTTGGCAACAGTATATGCCTACATAACATTTTATTATTTACGTATATCTAAATATCACGTCATCAGGTGCATACGATATTACATGATTAACAGATTGCTGTTATTTTAATTTTGATAGTTATGATTTTGGTATCACTTATTATTATGTGTATTTTTTTACTTTTAATTTTTTTTTCCAGATGAACAAGCTAGAATGCTCACAAATAATGCATCGAAACGTTTGCCAGAACCTGCCTCATTACAACCCACTGAGCGAGGATAATTTAAACGGCAACAGTTCGTGTAACTTTTCTGTACACTAAATAAAAAGTCAACGGTTAAGTAACACAAAATTAATCAATTTTAACACTTTGGATTTATATAAGACCTTTGCCTGGGCATATACAATGAATATGTGTCATTGACAGAATAATTGGAGAAATTTAAAAACTAACACAAAATGTTCCAATTTTCAAATAGATCTGGAGCCTAAACGGTTCATCGGAGATTTCCACATTAGGGGTACATTTTGTAGCAAATTTTGTGTACTTTAATTTTTATAATATAGATTAATAACAAAAAGTTGATAGTTTCTGAGTTATAAGCTAAATATTACAAAAAATATCATTTTTTCCATATTTTTCTCATTTTTGTCAATGTTGCGTCAAGAATTTTTGTTGGCAAACCTCAGATTCGGATTCAGCACCCCAAAATACATAAGAAATGGAAAAAATCAAAACTACCCCAAAACTTTCTCGCTATGAGTGAATTTAAATACAAATTTACTGGATTAAATCCTATAATCTAAAATAAGCGCTTGTACGGACAAACTTTTATTTTTGTCCAAGGGTTTTTAATTTTTTGTTTATTATGAGGTAGTTGGCCACGAGAAATCGATTGGAGTTGGTCATAAAGCTAGGGAAAATCCAGTTTCTGCCCTACAGCCCTTTAAAATAGGCCTATCCATGTTATCATCGTCAGTGCCTTTTTGTAGCATTAGTTAATAAAACAGCTGATAATGATATCTTTTATAGCAATCTGTGTATTTAAAAGTGTATTTTAAAATGTTTTCTTTTTATCATCAAAATTTGTTCACCTTGATTAACGTGCATAACACATATTTTTAATTTAGCTAAATATCATATCTAATAAATTTAATGTTTAATACAATACTCCTGGTACTGTTCTGTAAAACTTGGAATTTCAGTCCTGGAAATCTGAAAAAGCCTGTGAACTTGGCTCTCTGTCCTTTCATTCTGGAATTTTATAATTTCTTTTGGAATTGTGATTTCATTTCTTTCTTACCTCACAGTGTTTTTGTGGTAAATGCTTAAAAAAAAAGGCCTTTATAAATAATTTCTTTGCCAAATTTAAGATGCAGAAGTTTATATAAAATCCATGCCTACAGTCTAGATAAATGATAGTTTTTTTTTGTTCCTCATATCCAATCCAAATAAGTTTTTGTAAGAATTGTCTGAATTTTTGGTGTAATACTTAGACCTGTATGTTAATTGATCGCCGAGCGATCTAAGATGTTATCTGCCCAATTAGGAAATAGTATTACAGACCAAGGATTTGAATCTTGTCTAGGTAAGGTTTGGTGTGTATTTAATGAAGAGTTCCCCTGTCTGTGGTAAAACTTGGTTAGAGAGGTCCTCCTTAAGCCCCCCATACACGGGCAAACATGTTGGCGGTGTGTGGGGTCTGCGAGCCTTCGTACCGACGAGCATGTTAGGCTCGGCGCTCGGCTCGTCGGACTGTCACAGCACGAGAGAAGTGAGTACTGTGTGGTGGCGGCAAACAAGTTTGCGAGCATGCTCGACCGTCTGTTGGAAACGCCGAACATGTTCACGAGCGTGTCCGCCAACATGCTCGCCCGTGTATGGGGGGCTTAAAATAAACTGTGGAGGGCCCGGAGGTTTTTAGGATAGGGGTGATTCTTTGTTTGTTGAATATCTGATCTAGCATTTCAGTACTTTAACCCATTTTTAGGACTTTTTTGATGAAAGCCTGTTTTATACAGGCTTGTTTTTTTATCCTCATGATGCCATGTGAAAGTTAAATTACTTTTACCTACCCCTCCTTCCTTTCTCCCAATCAACTCTCGTAAATCAATACTATTAATTCCGTTAGAATTAAGGACAGGGTTTTCTCAAGGGACATGAGTTCTGTTTTTTTTTGTTAATGATCTTAATAAGTTTGTGTTAAGAAGTGAGTAACAGGCTCGACAACTATTCTGATAGCTTGGTATTACATCAAATTAAAAGGCTATTACATACAGTAACCTCTTAAATATCTATAAGTTGAATTTAATATCTATAAAATAACTTTTAAACATTATTATCACCAGCAAACTTAAGTTAATAGCCTACACTTTTTTCATTAGTTTTAATACTTAGTTTGTCCTTTAACATTGTGATTTCTCCTGAATTTTTCCCTTTGAAAGCCCTGATTATAATGTTAAGCTATTAAACCTGTATGGATGTGTTGCAGAGTGCAGTGGGAAGACCTGTGCTCACCACCAGGAAGATCCATTTTACTGTCGATGGCCAAAACTCTGCTAAACCTGGAGAGAATGTGAGTAACATCTAACATTACATAGTTTTATTGTTAACACATCAGTAAATTAATAGTCACAGTGACCAGTCATTACTCTCTGATTACCATGTTTAAGCCGAGAATGGTTGGTAGTGCATGTGTTAATTTTCATGGTTTCAAATATTTCTTCTTAAAAAAGTTAAGGGCATTTCAATAGGCTACTCATACAATACAGAGCCTAGTTAGAAATTTAACACGGCATATATTTATTTATTAAATTTTTGTTTAACAATACATTTTTTTGTCAAAGTCTAGGTTGACTAAGTTGAAAAAAATGTTAATTAACTTTTGTCCTTAGAAAGCATTTTATTGCAAAGAAGAATTCCATTTCCTTGATTTGAAACAAAATATTATCAGAAACATTTTTCTATTGACTCTATATGCCACTGATATAGAAATTTTTTGATTTAAAAACATCTTCAAATTTAATATCTAGCATCTTGGTCTTGCTGCTGTAACATTGACCTGTTATAAAGCATCATTAATCCATGGATAGTCTGCATTCCTATTGTGTTTAAACAAGCTTTGTCACATTAGGCATGCAAAACAGCTTTTGCTGCATGTTTCACTGTTATATTAGTATAGCTTGATGTCAGTAGCACAACTCATTATTATCAGGTATTCTCTTTTATCAATTATCAATCAAAGTACTTTTACTTAATCTTGCTGAATTGCTGTTAATAAGACATGATATAGATAAGTGAGCAATTTGAAATTTTATCACAAAAGATATTGTTGTAGCAACAATAAGTCATGTACCTCAATTAATTCAAATAGTTTGTTTTTTATCAGCTATATTATCTTGAAACGTTTGAAGTTTTAAGAAAAAAAAATTTCTTAACAATAGTTCAAGGCTGGTCGCCATTGACTTAACTATAGCCATATACTGAAAAAATAGATTTTTATGATAGGTTACAAACATTCCTCTGTTCAGTCTTATAGTAGTCTAGGGATTACTTGTTTCAGTTTTTAAGATCAAATTCTCAAATACGACATCAAATTATAGTCTGTGAAATCCAACAGACGTCTTTATAAATAAATAAACACTGACACATAAAGTTAACATAAAAAAATACCCACGCTGCAGCAAACCTGCCGTCTAAGCGAATTTCCATTTACCTGAATTGATTTTCTATTAGGCTAGGCCTAATCTATTAAAATAACATTAGGTTTAACGAGTACCTACGTTTGCTGCTCAAAGGAAAATAATAAAGTATGTTTTAAGTAAAATAATAATAGCTTAGTATAAAATCAATACATTAGCCAAGTTTGATCAAAATATACCCTTAAACAAGCGAACTAAGACATTTTACAATATTCTCCATAAGAATAACATGGGAATTTTAAATTTACAATTTTTTGAGTTTTCTCCGTATCAAATAAACTGTACAAAAACACTTTGATATACTGAATTATTTGTTTTTTAAGCTCTTTAAGAAAGTTTAGAAAGAAATTGAAAAATTTTATGTTTTGAGGGTCAAAAATGAGAAAAACCAATTTTTACCCCATATATTGAAATTTATGGATTACAGGATTTCGCGTGATCGGACCATATTATGGTCCGATCACGCTGATTCGCGAACTCATTCAAGTTTTATCCCGCCTTACACCTTCAAACCAAATTTTATCAAAATAGGACAAAAATTAGTCAAGTTATCGTGTTCACAGACAGTGGCGTTGCTTGGTTAAATTCCAGGGGGGGGGGAGAAGCCTCAAATTTCCCAACTGCTTAACATAGATTTCCCAACTTTTTTTTAGAAATCAATTTCTGTTCTATAAAAAAATCTACAAATTATTGTACTACACTGCAGTAACATTCAATTCAGTATTTATAAACTTGCATTAACAAAACATAGCTAGTTTTACATATATACAAAATTACTCAATTTCTAAAACTTCTACCAATTCATAATGAAATTTTATGACTTCAAAAAACTTGAACAAGTAATGTTTCAAATCCAAAAAAAACTTTACGAACCATTGTGGTAGCAGACCTAGCAGTGTAAAATTTTAGGGATATAAAATAAGCCTCATAGTACAAATTAGTATAGAAAAAATATTTTATTACAAAATAATGAAATTAAAATACTTTTAGAAGTTAATATCAACATTTTAACTTTCATAAAACTTACAACTAGGGTAGGCCTAAACAAGTTTGTAATGATGAAATATTAATATCAGTGTTGTGAATAATATTATTCTAGTCTAGAAAAGAATAAACCTAAAATAAGACTCGTATAAAATAAAAACGTTCAGCTTGGTTGATAATAAACTTATACATACAATAAAAATGCCAACCTTCATCTTCATCAAACTAGAACTAAGACATAAATCAAACTTAGAGTGAAAGTCAAACATCAAATTTTAGGTTATGTTTTGTCCACGTAGATCCGTTTCAGAGTGATTAGTTGATTCATTTTTGTAAATCCTTAATTAGGAATGATAAATAACTTGTGTAGATTTTTAAAATATATTCAGAGAATAAATATTCCATTTAGGTTATTAAAAAATAAGAGTTTTAAAGGTAATACCGATACACAAAACCTATCTTTAATACTATTTTAATCTGCTTATTAGTAAGTACTCCGGTCAGTTAGCCTGCTCCAAATACCACAAAAAAAGGTATAAAATATATTTCATGTGACTGACGTGAAAAATATTTTTTAATTTCTTTTAAACACTAACAATTAAACAACATAATTGAACAGAAGAGCTACATTGCTTGCACTTTCAAAATTCAAACTCGTAGTCTCGCAGACGAATCATTCAGAATCATCAACACAGGACAGGATCAAGGTAGCCAACATACGTCCAATAAGGAACAAAATTTCTCGTAAATGAAATTCCGACAAGCTATACCGCTAATTGATTATTGATTTCTTAAAATAAGGCGTGTTTAGCCATGGTTTAGCCTAGTTTAATCAAAGTTAAATGAAATCAAAGAAGCGTCAAGTTTATTTGTTCAAGTCAAAGAAATTTTTATCTTTGATGGATTTTCGCAAATATTTAAATTTTGTTTAGTTTAAAAATATATTTTTCTTGTATCTGACTTCCCAACTGTCCCAACTCGTGGCAAGGAAATTCCCAACTTTTCTCTTTCCCAGATTCTAGGGGGGGGAGGCTCCCCCCCCTACCCCCCCCAAGGCGACGCCCCTGTTCACAGACACACACACACACACACACACATATATATATATCATTTTTAATATGCATCTGGGGACATCAAAATAAAAAAGTAAATCGGTCCCAGGCCTAGGTCTTACCGCGCCATCTACATAGGTACATAGGCCTAGCTACTTCCCTATAGGGAAATTCGATAAAAAAAATTAAAAAAACCTTCCTAATAAATGCTAGGCAGACCCGCAGACCACACTTAATTACAGGATAAACTGACGCAAGCTGCTCAACAAAATTTATGTTTTAAACGTGAGCTTATTGATGAATACATCTGTGAGATATAGACTATAATTTGATGTTGGCTTTGAGAATGGGTCTTACGACAGGAAACTAGTAATCCCAAAAACTACTAGGCCTACATTATTTTTGTAATACTAACTGAAGTAAACAACCTAACCAACCTAACCATACCCAACCTTTGTATTGTATATTTGTACAATCAGTCTCGATGACAAGAATGTTTACATTTAAGATGTGTTTCTCAAATGAGTTTTCAGTTTATGTCTGACCTAGAAACTAAAATGAACTTTGTGGAGTAAACAATTGACATGTAAACTGCCCTCAAATCCTTATATATAATACGCAAAGGCCATTTCTATGAAACACTACTCCTCTGTTAATAATGGACGGATTTTTACAATGAGTCAAAATTAAGTATTTTTTGTGTATACGCCCCCTTTCACCAATTCCTGTAATAAAAGTCCTCATGCTTTGCCCCACAGACCATCAAAATCCCAATGTATTTCTTATAGAGATTAAATTTTGTTTACTCAAACAGATAAATAATTTTGTATTAATTTGAAAAAACAACTTCACCAATATTTCTGAATTTTTAATTTTTATGAGGCCTTTCGCCAGCTATGCTGGCATCATCAGACACATCACAAAAGTTTTGTGATGTGTCTGATGATGCCAGCATAGTTGGCGAAAGGCCTCATAAAAATTAAAAATTCAGAAATATTGGTGAAGTTGTTATTTCAAATTAATATTAATTCCAATATTACCAGTTCTTCTTGAAGAATAATTTGTATTAATTAAAACAGCTGTTCATAGTAACACATGATACACACAAGAGCGTTTGTTTTTCAGAGTGAGTTAGTTTTCAGTTTCGATAACTGGAGTGATTGATTACATTGCTTTTGAGTTGACTAATTTAAAGTCATCAGAAATTATGACTGTTATTCGTTTTGAAATAACGCCTGTACTGCTTCGCAATTGCTTGAATTCGAGCAACAGGTGCACAAGTCTCCTCTATTAATTTGTAAACACTTTGTAATTAACAACGTGGCAAAGAGGATTTTTGTATGCCTATTGTTTACTTTTAGTTCTGTTAATCACTTTCAAATTGATATGGATAAACTTTTGCAAAAATGTTCTCAAACGTATTTAATGGAAAGCAGGATTCTATTGATGTTTTAATTATACAAAATTCTATTTGGCTTACAAATTACTGCAATTTTAACAAGCAATTTGATGTCTATGTCAGAGTTGTGTATCTTTTTCAATGCTATTACAGAACAGACATAGCTAATGGTATTCAAAACACTTAACATTAGAATTTTCCTTAATTCTTAAATTGTTAAGGTTTTTTGCATCTTACAATTGCTGTGTTATAGATCTCCCGGGACTACCCTGTGATTGACCACACGTATGATGCGGTGGTGGTTGGTGCCGGAGGTGCAGGGCTGCGCGCTGCGTTTGGTCTAGTAGCCGAGGGTTTCAAGACAGCCGTCATCACCAAGCTGTTCCCCACCAGGTCTCACACTGTTGCTGCTCAGGGAGGCATCAATGCAGCCCTGGGCAACATGGAGGAGGACAACTGGCAGTGGCACATGTTAGTAAACTAGACAATACCTAGTCATTCCTTCACATCACAGGACGTCAAGGTTTAAACACATCAGACTAAACCGAGAGGGTTGCTGCATCATCAAGTCATTAGTGATTGGCGGGGTTTGAACCCAGAACCTCAGGGACTGAAGCCCATTCTCTACCACTACACCAGCTTGCGACAATACTAGACGTTTGGCCGATGTAAAATTTCACATGCTTCACATGGTTGATGTTATTGAAATGCTATAATTTTTTACAGAAAGCTTATAGGCTAATAGAAAAAAATTCTTTTGGCGAATAGTTCATGATGTTTTTTTCAAATGATATAACAATGTATCGTGTATAGCGGAGTCGGAGAAAAGTTGTCCGCTTGTCCGTGTGTGTGTGTGTGTTCGTTCGCACCAAAAACTCAAGAACCGTCGCACTTATAGCGTTCAAATTTTGCACAAATAATTATGACACCAGTGGGAAGACACCATTAAAATTCTAGACGATTCCGCTCAGTATTAATTATAAAATAATTAATAAACATTTTTAAATTCGTCCCATAAGAATAACATTAGGAGCTACCTTCTTCTTCTTTTTATTTGTTTACGTTTTGCGACCAACAATTTTGTTGTCTACTTAAGACAGAGAGAATGACTTTTACTCTAAGCTATTTCATTCATGGAGTAAACAGTTGGCGTCTATGAATATATATCATTATAATTTCACAGCTTTCAGAATAATGTTATTCAAGCTAATTAATTTTCACAACTTTCAGATAATTAAATTGAACTTAACAATATTAGTAGGCAGTTATATACCGTTTATGTTCAGTATTAAAATTCACCTTTAAATTAAAAATATATATGCATGTATTTAGAACAAAGCAGCTTTTTACATTATTCAATTTAATGTTGGCATTGAATATTAAATATTCAAAGATGTTGGTATATCTTTAAACTAAAAAGCTATGCGAGGGGGGGGGCAGGTCCACGACGTAGAGGGTGGTAAAGGAAGCGAAAAGGTGAGCAGTGAAAAGAAAGGAGTACGGAAACCCTTTATGATTGTTAAATTAATGTATCTGTAATACTTAAATGCTATGGAAATATAGGGAAATAGGTCTACGATGTAGAAAGTAGTGAAGTAGTGAAGGAAGTAGTCAAGGCGAGCGCTGTGGAGTGTGGGAAGCCTTTGTGACAGTTAGAATAATGTATCTGCAATTCTAAAAATGCTATGGGAAAGGAGGGAAACAGGTCCACGATGTAGGAAGTGGTGAAGGAAGTAGTCCATGCGAGCAGTCCGGAGTTTGGGAAGCCTTTGTGACAATTAGAATAATGAATCTGCCATTCTAAAAATGCTATGGGAAGGGAGGGAAACAGGTCCACGACACGTAGGAAGTGGTGAAGGAAGTAGTCAAGGCGAGCCGTCCGGAGTGTATAAACCCTTTGTGACAGTTAGATTAATGTACCTGCAATACTAAAATGCCATAGGATGGGAGGGAAACAGGTCCACGACGTAGGAACGGCGAAGGAAGTAGTCAAGGCGAGCAGTCCGGAGTGTAGAAACCCTTTGTGACAGTTAGATTAATGTACCTGCAACACTAAAATACTATAGGAAGAGAGGGAAACAGGTCCACGACGTAGGAAGTGGTGAAGGAAGTAGTCAAAGCGAGCAGTCTGGAGTGTAGAAACCCTTTGTGACAGTTAGAATAATGTATCTGCAATAATAAAATGCTATGAGAAGAGAGGGAAACAGGTCCACGACGTAGGAAGCGGTGAAGGAAGTAGTCAAGGCGAGCAGTCCGGAGTGTAGAAACCCTTTGTGACAGTTAGATTAATGTACCTGCAATACTAAAATACCATAGGAAGGGAGGGAAACAGGTCTAAGACGTAGGAAGCGGTGAAGGAAGTATTCAAGGCGAGCCGTCCGGAGTGTAGAAACCCTTTGTGGCAGTTAGATTAATGTATCTGCAATAATAACATTCTATGGGAAGGGAGGGAATCAGGTCCACGACGTAGGTAGTGGTGAAGGAAGTAGTCAAGGCTAGCAGTCCGGATTGTGGGAACCCTTTGTGGCAGTTAGATTAATGTACCTGCAATACTAAAATGCTATGGGAAGGGAGGAAAACATCTCCACGACGTAGGAAGTGATAAAGGAAGTAGTCAAGGCGTCAAGGTGAGAAATGCGGAGTTTGGGAACCATTTGGTGACAATTAGATTTATGTATCTGCAATGAAACAGTTACAATACTAAAATGCTATGGAAAGGGTGGGAAACAGGTCAATGGCGTAGTAAGTGGTGAAAGAAGTAGTCAAGGTGAGCAGTGCGGAGTGTGGGAACCGTTGGTGGCAGTTAGATAAATGCATCTGCAATACCAAAAGGCCATGGGAAGGGAGGAAAAGAGGTCCACGTCGTAGGAAGTGGGGAAGGATTTGGTAAATGCGAGAAGTTCTGAGTGTGGGAAAAGTTTGTGGTGGTTGTACATGCAATACTAAAATGCTGGGGGAAGGGAGGGAAACAGGTCCACGACGATGGAAGTGGTAAATTCGAGCAGTGCTTAGTGTGGGAACCGTTAATGGCATTTAGATTCATTAGTTAGATGAACATTTTTTGGATTTTTAATCATTTTTAGATGATATAATAGTGCTATCGTTGATATAAATCATCATTTTTAGCAATACGATATTTTTTTGGAGATTCCTTACACTGTGCTTTGGCAATTTATTTAAGTTAGATTAGTTCAGTTTGGCTTAGTTTTGTTTATGATAGGTTTCATAACAGATATGGAAATAGGTTTTATTTAATCAAAAGACGTTTTGTACAGGAACGATGGATTTACCTCATATCGATAACTGTTGGAAATCCATTACGTATATTACCAATGACTTTCGTTAATTAGTGGACGAGAAGTTAGGATTGTTGTTGACTGAGATTTGGTTGATTTGCCCATACAAATAACATTATTGTGTTCACCAGTGACACCGGTAAGTAGGCTAGGTGTGGGTGGACTCTTTCATTATTGCGCTCGGCTCATGTTCACTCATCCCGTTACGCGCAGAATAAGCGTACTACTAGTACAGGCTTGATTTTTATTTCATTCTATTACCTAAGATTATGGGTTTATGGCCTATTCTCAATCATTATAATTACTAGACATTTTCTATACGATCTTAGGAGATCTTGATTAAAATAATTTATCAAAGGAACCCAAAATTAAGGAATCAAGCCTTGAACCATCTATATCAAGTGGTCCAGAAATAAATTAATCGGTTGCTTCAAGTTAATTTTTGGATCATATTTTGATTCTTGAGAGTAGGATACTGCATACTCTTATCACTACATCATTAGAAGTACAAAAATACAATTATTTTATTTTTCTACTGTATGGCGGCCATTTTTTGTTGCTTGAATGCCGGTTTTCAGCGATTTTAGAGCTCTGTGTACTACATCTGAGCCAAATTTTTATTTCCAGAAAACATTAAACTTTTGAAATTTAAATTTTGTTTAGATTTTTGAACCCATAGTCAAAAATTGCTTTATGAAAAAAAATATTCTTAAATATCAGTTTTTGTAACATGATTGCATCAAACTTTAAACAGGTATTTAGACCTTTAAATTAAATTTAACGCAGAGCTCTGAAATAGCTGATAACGGGCATTCTAGCAACAAAAAATGATCGCCATACAGAAGAAAAATAAAATAAAAATAAAACAATTGTATTTTTTGTACTTCTGATGATATGTAGCCTAATTTAAAGGACAAAAATTTGAAAAAAATTAAAATCTTGAAGCAACCACCTTTGGACTACCTACTTGAAATGGATTGTCTTAGTGTAGGTTACCCAATTTTATTTTCAAAACATACATAGTTTGTTATAGTTTTAATTTTTAATTATTGTACCATCTTTATGTTTAGTTATACCTCATACTTAATGAGTATGTGTGTTGCAGGTATGACACTATCAAGGGTTCTGATTGGCTGGGGGACCAGGACGCTATCCACTACATGACCAGGGAAGCCCCTAAAGCTGTCATCGAGCTTGAAAACTACGGTAAGTCTCTCTCGTGTAACAAAAGTGTCAAATAAATCAAATCAAAATATGTTTTATTTCAAAAATTGTACGAGGTAAGTTTGGGAAGTAAGTTTTATTTTGAAATAAAGGAATAATGAGTAGGCTACAGATACAGAAAAGACATTTATTTTAAAAATATCTACAACTCTTGTGATTTTTGAAGCATTTGTCATAGCGCGGTAGAGGTTTGAGTATACCCTCCTCGTAGAATGTTGCCACCTGTGTAGTTAACCATGAGGTAACACATTCTTTCAGCTCTTCACCGCAGATTAACTTCTGACAGCCAAGAAAAGACTTAAGATTGCAAAACAAATGAAAATCGCTTAGAGTGAGGTCAGGGCTGTACAGAGGATGGTCAAGGCCAAAGCCCTGAAGAAGTGTCTTCAATACACATTGGCTGATTTGTCCCTTTCAGAAAGGGTTTTAGGTACCCAACGTGCTCAAAGTTGACAAAAGCCAAGTTTTTCAGTAACCTTCTCATAAATTACTGTGAAACTTGTGGAAATTCACGTGTAAGAGCACTTATCGTAAACATACAGTTTTCTTTAATCTTTTCATTGTCTGCACTAATCAGTTCATCGTTTACCACAGGTGGACGTGTACTTCGTTCCTCATCATGCACTGTATCTCGCCCTTCATTGAACTGACGAACTCATCTTCTCACCATTGAATCACTCATTACATTGTCCCCATAAACCTCACAGATTTGTCAGTGAATGTCAATTGTTTTAAAGTTTTTTGGATTCAGAAAACAAATCACCCATCGAATTTCACATTTGGCAAGATTCTGAATTAATGCAGCCATTACGAACAAGCGCTACAAAGTGTACGATAACAATAGCGTGTTCAAAATGGCGTAATTTCCTTCCGGTTGACACAGAGTAACTACTGGGTGTGCGCTAAACTGCGATCGCAGCACTACGCCGGAGAGTAGGGGAAACGACACTTACTTTCCAAACGTACCTCGTATATACATTATAAATACGAAAAAATAGTCCCACATAGGTCGCATATTTGAATAATGACAGGATTATACACAAAACATTGGTGATGTTAAATCTCAGTTCTTTCAGTGATTTCAATGCTTGTAATTACAAGCTGTAAAATTTGTAAATACATTGGCCATAAATGTTTTAGTGGAAATTATTTTATGGTTAGTAATATTTCTTGTACATTTTTACAGGTATGCCGTTCTCACGAACAAACGATGGTAAGATCTACCAACGAGCTTTTGGAGGTCAGAGTCTTAAGTTTGGCAAGGGTGGCCAAGCGCATAGGTGCTGCTGTGTGGCAGATAGGACAGGTACATGTCATGATTACATTGATGTATTTTTATTTATGATTTGTAAATCTCATATGTATCCTATTTATTTGGGCTACATTGAGCGGGTCAAATTAATATTTGATTGGGTCTCAGTTTAAATGTGTTGGGGATGTGCGAAGCAGCAAAATATTTTCGATTTGAAGCAACGATTCGATGAAAATGATTTTTGATTTGAATCGATGCAACTCGATTCAAAGCAATACAGCATTTTTCTATTAATACTTGTCAATGGAGTGAAAAAACAATAGGCTAATTAAAATTTACCACATTTGTGTAACGCAAATTTTTGTTGATGTGGTATTAGGCTTATTCATACATATGACATGTATGAATTTTAGGTGAAAAAATATATATCCTTCTCAAAGGAAACGCAACAACGCGCTCCTGTATTGCGGTTATTGCATTGACTTTCTGCAGGAGTTTTTTGTTTATTGATACTGACTCCCTCATGAATCGAATTCATTGTTTTTTGATCCCCAATGAATCGAATCGTGATTTGATGCATCGATTTGAATCGGAATTTTAATGCATTTTCGATGCATCGAATACCCCTAAATTTGTATAAGAAGGCGCTTACTGTAAATAAGATAAGATGGCCAAAACATGGTCAAGTTGTTTATTTGATTTTTATTTATATAACTAACAAGCTGTTGTACCCGTGCTTTGCAACGGGAAGAGGACACAAAATAGATACATTTTAATCTTTACATCTGTTGCATATAATAGTTACACATCCGCCAACGCTTTTAGAAACGTTTAAGTTATGACTTTAAATCTGGTAAGTAGTGGGTACCGGTACCACCATTTCATCTCCCTTAATTACATATCTTTTTATTTATTATTGACATTTTAAATTTCAATTTTGAAGTTATTACTAATTATTAAATTTAAATGAACATTTTTTAAAAATTTCTCTTCTTTAAATTAAATTACAAATCGTTCCATCTTCAGTATCTTCACTCACAATAAATTATTAGCAAAACTAAGTCAGCTGTTATAAACTTTAGAAATATTGCTGTGCCTTACCAATACAGTTTTTTTAAATATTAAAGAAACTATATCTATAGGTACTATAAAAAATTTTAAACAAATAATTTAGCATTAAAGACAATACAGTTTTTTGAAATATTAAAGAAACTATATCTATAGATACTATAAAAAATTTTAAACAAATAATTTAGCTTTAAAGACAGTAGACAAAACTAATATGATTATAAAAACATCAAGGACTAAAAAATGTAATAGCAAATACAGTATGTTTCATTGCATCTCTGATTCTACTCTACAAAAATATCAACAAACAACTTAATATACAAACCAGTTTTTTTAATCAGTTCCATCTTCCATTGCCTTTACATATTGCACACTTACCATTAAGTAAACATAGTAACAGATATTTCATTGATTTTAGAAACAAAGGAACACAGTGTACTGCTTAGTTTTATGATATTTTCCTTGGTTTAATTTAATCAGTGGAGTGGCAAAACACAAATAATAAATTTATCAAATAAAGTAAATGTGAACTGAAAGCACTGAAAGCTATGTTAAGATAAAATGAGAGTTTTTTGTATTACCATTTGATAATTTATTATAGTTACACATATAGGCTACAACAGATTTTAAAAAACAAAAATCAACGACGTACAATTTAGTTATTGATGATATTCTTTAGTTTAATTTAATCGTAGGTTTAGCAAAACACAATAACTTAATTTAGCATACATATATATATAAAAAAAAATGTGATGTGCAAGTTATGTTAAGTTAATCTAACACATGTTAAGCAGTTAGAATTTATTTAAAGTAGCCTCCAAATTCATATAAAACATCTATACATTGTAATTTTCATACTGTTTCAATGAAATCATATAAATAATATTATTTTCATAACTTAGACGCTTTAAAAAAATCCAAAGTAGAGCCGGAGTTGATACCAGGAGTTGATACAGCAACGGTTATAGAATATTTTTTTATATAATCATTGACATAGTTTTAGAATAAATAATCCATGATAAAAGGTTAGATTAAAACAAACCTACCTCAAAGTTATGGAAAATATTATATTTAATTTCTTTGTATCAGCTGTCTGAAGTTGTGAAATATGCAGTTTAGCAGTTCTTCTTGTTTACATTTAAATGTCAAAGCAAATGTAAACAAACATTGTTAGTGTTCTCATCACAGCCATGGAGACCAATCAATATTTACTTTTAAAATCTTCACATCAGAACTTTTAAAGCCAAAGGGGCAAAGCCTACGGTCTGTATCGAAATGTGAATATTCCTATAATGGTCCTTGGTATGGTAACTATATTTTTGTCAAATTTTAGCCCAGTTGGTTCAGTAGTTTTTGCACCTATTAGTAATACACATACAGACAGACACCATTAGATTTTTATATAATAGTATAGATAAAGAGTGTGTGACTGCTTTCTTCAGCAGATTAAAATAAACTTAAATTTTTTGTATTCTTGGTTTTTGCAACCTTATTTCAGTTATGACAAGTAAACTTAATTTAGCTATCGCATTCATTTCAACACCTCAAAAGGTGTTAATTGTGTAGACATGTTATCTAACAACGCTTTTCCAAATTGATTACAAAGATGTCGCTCTATGCCTTTCCGATGGTGGTTAGCTGTTTAGTTCATGACGGTGTTTGTTTGAACACTAGGCCACTCCCTGTTGCACACCCTATATGGCCAGTCACTGCGCTATGATTGCAACTACTTCATTGAGTACTTCGCTCTCGACTTGATCATGGAGGGAGGCGAGTGTCGGGGAGTCACTGCTCTCTGCCTTGAAGATGGATCCATCCATCGATTCCGTGCTAAGAACACGGTATGAAAAGAGTTTGCTGTTATTTTAGGATTACTCGTACAGTTATTATTGATAAAACCACAGATTCTATCCCTCAGTTTTAGAATTAACACAGCTGAATTGAGCCGCTGACAGAGTGTGCTGGGGAACTACTTAACTCGATTTCTGTCGAATACGCTAACTTTTTAACCAAGTCAAACTGATAAGATCAAAGGACAAGTACAGGTTCAGGAGCGGAATAAACGAAAAGTTTAGACACATTTTATGCCTGGTAATTTCTTAAGCGTGGTACTTAAGCTTTCTTGTGTCAGTTTGTAAACAATATAGGCCTATGTTTGTCTCAGGTGCTAGCTACTGGAGGCTATGGTAGAGCATATTTCTCCTGCACCTCCGCACACACTTGCACTGGTGACGGTACAGCTATGGTGTCTCGTGCTGGCCTCTACAACGAGGACTTGGAGTTTGTCCAGTTCCACCCTACTGGTTAGTACAGATACTCGTTACTGTTTCCATCGTGTTAGCCAGTGGTAATATTTTGCGTTTAATATGTTTTGCCAGCTTTGTTCTGGTAATCACAACTTAGGCCTAAATTAATTGATGAGTTACATTTGGAGAGGATGCTTATGAACTCAGCCGTTTTAGAATTAGTAATATGACTACATCTGGAATAATTTGGACAGTTAAAGGACTGGCCATCACTGTATTTGAATGAATCACATCTTCTAATTAATCCTATGTAGTTTTGTGTTTATTTTCAGAAATTTAATCACTGTTGTTCCCTCTAAAAATAATAACTGATATTGAATTATGTATAATTTAATTATGTATAATAGCCTAATTTGTTGTGAGACTATAAAAGGTTTTACACGGACTATACTTGGTTGCAGGTATCTATGGTGCCGGATGTCTAATGACTGAGGGTTGCCGAGGAGAGGGTGGTTACCTCATCAACTCCCAGGGAGAGAGGTTCATGGAGCGTTACGCCCCCGTGGCCAAGGATCTCGCCTCACGAGACGTTGTATCCAGGTCAATGACCATTGAGATCAAGGAGGGCAGGTAACTCACATTCACAGTGTTCATTTTATAAAAATATGGATATGATAAACTAAATTATGCAATTGTGCCGGGTAACTAGTTTGTTTAGTGAACTGTCACACCTTGTTAAGCTTTGTCTTTGTATTAGATTGGTAGATTGTTGTACATTTGGGTCATACAACATAATAATTCTTTTTTTAAACTGCAAAATAAAAATAAAGATTATAGTAAAAAAAATTTACATAAATTTGTTGCTAAAAAATATAGGCCTACATTGGTCAAATTAATTTCTATCCTTGTAATTAAGACTAAAAAAGTATAAAATAGATGAATGTACAGTAGTTTTATTTTTATACTAATCAACTTGTGACTAAGAATATGAATTTTTTTCTTCAAATAATTCTTTTTTGCTTCGGTCCCAATACAACTAACTTACACCACAGTCCCGCTGATCCAAAACCTTCAGAACATCCTGCTAATCAGAACCACCTTTTGATTAAAAGAACAGTATCGTCTTTAATGTAATAACATAGCTGTGTGTTATGAAATACCAACCAAGATGTCCATCCAGGTTTACTTCCAATATGTTTTAAACTGAATGCATTGCTATGTAGGTTTCCTAACCATACACTATTACAGAGGCTGTGGCCCAGAGAAGGACCATGTATACTTGCAACTGCACCATCTGCCTCCAGATCAGCTGGCTACCAGGCTGCCGGGCATCTCTGAGACTGCCATGATCTTCGCTGGAGTGGACGTCACCAGGGAGCCGATACCAGTGTTGCCAACCGTGCACTACAACATGGGTGGTGTGCCCACCAACTACAAGGGTCAGGTGTGTAACAGCCGCTATACTCTATTATCCACCGTACGGTACCATGTAAACTATTCACAAGCCTTGTGTAGCACTGAAGCAGTCTCAGTGACACTAGCTGTCCTAAATCATCAGGACGTGCAATGCACTCCTTTTACTTTCTTGTTACACTTTTTCCACTATCCTTATTTTGACCATATCGAAGTCTCAAAACAATTATTTCAGTCAAAATACCAATGTATGAAAACAGAAAGCTAAAAAAATGAGTAAAACGTACTTTGGAGTAATTCACAAGAATTGTGAGGACAACTATACATAACATAGATAAGACTTCACAATGTTGTAAAAGCCTATATAGTTCAATCTTTTAGTTTAGTTTGGAGGTTAACTTTAAGAAAGGACCATGAGGTCCTAAGTTCGCCTCAATAAAGAAGTATTTTCATTTCATTTAAGGGATTGGACAGCAAGCTTCGGTCTCTGAGGTGCTGTGTTTGAATCCCGCTAATCATCAATGGATTTTATGTGATAATGCCAACTTCTAGGAATAGCTTGAAGTAATGTGTAAAACAGTTCCGGGCTAAAGCCTAGCGTCCTAGGACGTAAAGGTGAGACAAAAAGGGAAAAAAAGATTCAAAAGGGAAAATAAGTTTAGGCCTACACAAAATTAATAACTAGGTCTATAGGCTTTATTTCTTTTCAAATTGATGAAATTTGTTAACTAGGTGGCTTAGCGATGTTATTTGCTCGGGCTTCAATATATTTAAAGAAAATCCAGTTCCGGAAAAATCCAGGGAAAAATATATCATGCCAAATATTTTTCTAACCTGCTTCTCAAATTTGTTGGTCTTGACCAACTCTATGAGTTATTGTTCCGAGTATCTTTATTTATTTTTACAATGTTATCCTCTGTAGGTGCTCACCCTGAAGGACGGTGAGGACGCCATTGTGCCAGGTCTGTACGCCTGTGGAGAGGCCGGTTGCTCCTCTGTACATGGAGCCAACAGGCTGGGAGCCAACTCTCTGTTGGATCTGGTTGTGTTTGGACGTGCCTGTGCCAAGGCCATCGCTGAGGAGAACAAGCCTGGCGAGAAGATTGGAGATCTCAGTCCGGTCAGTTGATAAAATCTTCAATAATTTGAAATCATGACAGGGTAGTAGGCCTGTATAGTGTTACACTATACTTAACACTATACTTAAGTAAACTTTAGGCGAAACCCGTCGAAATCAACGGTTACTATCAAGGCTTACGTTAATTCATGTAACTGCGATAAATTGGGTGACATATACATATTTTGAGCATTTAGCATTGTTTAAAGAGTAATAAGTGTAAAAACAATAAGGGTATTAATTGCGTTAGTTTGCCAAATTTGGTTGCTCATTCAATGATTAAAATATTTCCTATACTGTAAGTCATCAGAGTTATTATTAGTATGTTGTCTGGTATCTCTCCCTTTGGAAGAACCTTTAAATAGTAATCGTATTGGTGGATCTTTTGTAGTTAAACACTTCCGTGATTTCATCAGTGTAATATGATTTTATTTGAAAAGGAAATATTTTTTGGGAAGACATATTATTCTAACTTCAAAGGGATCCGTTACAGTGGAAGTTTGATTTATCCTTCTTCACGTCACGTCAGTTCATATCGTACTTCTGTGCCAATGAATGAACCCTCTAACACAGTTCTGAGAAATTGATTGTGGGGTTACTGTTAAAGCTGGAATTTGTTGACATGCGGGATGTCAGTTAGTTGTCTCAGCGTTATCAATAACGTAAAGTTGTCAATATAATCTCTCTACGGAATGTTAGGTGTAGTGGAATACTTGAAGTGAAGTTGGCCTTTATTTTTGAACTGTTAGGAGCCTCCTAGTTCATATGGTCTTGGCGGCTTCATTGGCAACAAATAATGCAAATCACATAGCAATGGGACATTTCCAAAAAGTAAAAATACCTTAAATTGGCTGTTACGTATATATTGACGTTTACATATTGTTAATCAACGTATCTTATAAAGGATTATGTGATCAAGCTTAAAAGGAATATGACCTTTCTGTCATGACAGTAGCTGCTTAAATAGTATTTTCTCTTTGTACAATATTTTACAGCAAAAATGTCGTGTTATTTTCAATAATGTTACCAACCCAGTGCGCCAACCAAATTCGTAATATAGGCAGGTGCAAATAGTTTGTCCCGATGGGTACCATTTTAGGCAAGGTTTCTATGTTTGGAATTTATTAGACACGATAAGAGCAGATATTTCTACATAAATATTTGATATGTGTAGAATAAAATGATAAAATGTAGGTTAAAGTAGTGAAAAAGGCAGACACCAACCCGTACAATAGATATAAGATAGCTCAATAAAAAATAATTTCAGAATTGCTGTGATAAAATCATTTCCCACTGATTTCGTAATGTAACGTTATATTGCAAAACCTGACATGATAAAGAATAAAATCAATTTTAAAATCAGAAAATAATATTGCAAATAGTTATTTCGTAGAATTCAGTAGCTCCCAATAAATATGTGTTGTTTGAAATACAATTTAAAAATGTACAGCTGTTTCATTAAAAAGTATTATTCACATGGCCAAAATGTAAACAACTCTGTGAAGGGATCTTTAAAGGCTTCTGGGGCAGAGTCCTAAGGGATTTTGGTTAGTTTTTCTTTTGATAACTCATCTACAGACCAAGATCTTTCTTTGGACACCTCTACCAAGTTTCTACCCCCAGCCGTTCTCTCACATTAGAGGGGACAAAGTTCCCAATTAAATATTTCGATTCCTCCATGTTAATCTTATGGGAGAAAATCCAACTTTGATGGCCTGTGGGGCAAAGCCCGAGGACTTTTACTATATGAATTGTTGAAAGGGGGCGTCTAAACAAAAAATACTTTATTTTGACACGTCGTTTGTAAAAATCCGTCCATTATTAACGGAGGAGTAGTGTTTTCTAGAAATCGCCTTCACGTATTATATATAAGGATTTTAAATTTATACCAATCGTAGAACTAATAGAATTAATCATAGAATTAATGAACTCTGGAAGTTTGGCTACTATTATCAAATGTTGTGGGTTCAGATGTAGTTTAATATTCCTATGTCCTATCCAGGTTTAGATGCTCTGTAAAGGTAACTTCCAGTTACTTTAACCACTGAGTGTGCAATATGGGAGGGGGGTTACCAGTGAATACATTACTCTCTTTATGTACGCCTGATCATACCGTGTACTTTTTGTCGATAACAATCAACACAAATATAAGGTTACCTTCGTCAATCAGCTCATAGAAGTTGAAACATTGTTACGGCCGTTTCAGCATATCCATGCCATCATCAGACGTTCAGCCAAGTGGCATCGTTAATATACAAAAACACAAACTGTCACACGCGACGTACACATACATAAACATAAACGGGGGTTTTTTACTTAACAGGCCTGTTGATTAGACATATCCGCACAAGAGCAAGTAGCTGACTGGAGTCATTCATGCGGTGTCGTGTCAGTGGCGGCATTATCATTTGTACTTTGCCCTCTTGGTCTTAAATCCTTCCTCTGACTTAAAATACTATTGAAAATTACATGTGATTTGAATTGTAGTTTGTCATTTAAAATAAGTTCGCTATTGTCATTTTTTGTATGTGCTTTGTAAATTTCAAATTCTTCCAGGGTGTCCAATTTATTGCCTTTTGTACATGTGTGAAGGATTTCCAAGCCAGTGTTGAGGTCACACACAGTCTGATGGCCTAGCAATGGGTTCCCCGCTGTCATGTATTCTTGCCGATGTTTACTTAAATTATATAGAAAATGAATTTATATTTTCAGACTACAACAAACAAAAGCAAAAAATATTGCAGTACCACAGATATGTTGATGATACAATTCTTTTGTTCAACGGAAATAACAGACAACTGGATTTATTACACATTTATCTTAATACCATATCACCTAATTTAAAATTTACAATGGAAGTAGAAGAATCAAATAAGATCAATTTTTTGGATTTGACCATAGAGAAAATAGACTATAGACTAGATTTCAGCATATACCGGAAGCCAACTACTTCAAACCAGACAATACATAACACCTCTTACCATCCACCCTCACAAAAGTTTGCAGCATACAACAGTATGGTGTATAGACTGCTAAACGTCCCCATGTCACCCACTAATTATCAGAAAGAACTCAATATCATTAGACACATAGCAACAGCTAATGGGTTTGAAGCAAATATGATCGACAGATTAATTAACAAACAGAAGTGTAAAAATAGGAATAAAAATAATGAAGTTCAGCATGATAAGAAGTATGTATGTGTGGAATATTCCCATTCGTTACAGAATGTATTGGCCAAAGAATTAAAAAGACATGGTGTAGAGTTAACTTTTAGGACAAATAACAAGACTATGAACAAACTTAATGTTACGAGAAAGGTTATTGATAAGGGTGACAGGTCAGGGGTATACAGAATTAAATGTGCTAGTTGTCCTAGTGTTTATGTAGGAAAAACGGGGCGCACTTTTAAAACTAGATATAAGGAGCATCATCCGAAACCGAAAGCTGACAAACAAAAGTCTACATTTGCCCAACATCTAATGGACAATAATCACGACCTAAATGACCTCAACACTGGCTTGGAAATCCTTCACACATGTACAAAAGGCAATAAATTGGACACCCTGGAAGAATTTGAAATTTACAAAGCACATACAAAAAATGACAATAGCGAACTTATTTTACTTATACTTTTGGCCGTATTTTTAGCGAATTTCCCTATGGATAGGGAAGTAGCTATTACCACAGAGAGAACAAAATAAATATAAGAGCATCTTTTCCTATACTCAATGCATACGAGGCAGTGATGATCGGACCATGGGAACGAGGTTTTATGGGGTAAAAATTTGTTTTTCTCATTTTTGACCCTCAAAACACAAACATTTCCAATTTATATATAGACCATTTTAAAGAACTTAAAAAACAAGATTTAGTATGTCAACGTTTTTTTGTATGCTTATTGGTTACAGAGAAAATTCAATAAAAGTAAATTTAAAACTCCCATGTTTTTGCGAAGAGTATTTAAAAACACACTCTATTACCTTCCCTGTAGCAGCAAACTTAAGTACTCATTAAACCTAATGTTATTTAAATAGGCTATAATTAATTGAAAATAAAAACATGCAAATGGAAACTCGCTTATTAGAAATCTGTGTTTGTGCGTGTGCGATGAACTGTGGTGACAAGGACTGTGTTCTGATTTCAATAAGGTGAGTGACACCCAAAAATAGTTATATTATCTAACAGATGATAACAAGCATGTCATTAGGATGCTGTTTAGGTAGGTTAGTGCAATAGGGACAGAAACTTCACCGCTCTTCTACTCTTCTCTGAATACCGTAACAAATGATGAAGCCTGCAGCATTTTTTTCAATAACTTTACAAAATAGCAAAAGCGATGGTTGTGCGGAAATTGTACTAATACACAATTGGAAATGTCTATTTTTTCCTGCCACTCGAAAGATTCAATTTATACTGACAGATATTTTTATTTCCTTGCTACACACTCAGGCCTGACTTATGGTGTGAGAATGAGTATCTATCAATAAACAAAATATATACAGCAATGATAAAAATGTTTACTATTCAGAGTGTTCCTTTCTCTTTAGTAATTTGTATTGTCTTATGTTGGTATTGCTACAGAATGCTGGAGAAGCTTCAGTCGCTAACCTGGACGGGGTGAGGTTTGCCGATGGAGCAGTTCCGACGGCCACTCTGCGTCTCAACATGCAGAAGACCATGCAGGCCCATGCTGCTGTGTTCAGAGAGGCAGAGAGTCTACAGGCCGGCTGCCGAAAGATGGAGGCTATCTACAAAGACCTTTCTGATGTCAAGGTAGGCTAATTAGAGTAATGTTGGGGTTTTTAATGAATAAAAATCAGCGACAGTAGTGTCAAATGTTGTGCTTCAGGCCAGTATTGAATGTGTTGTCGCTGTGTTTAAAGGTCAACATAAACAATTCATTAAACACGCTCACACATATTAAGGTAAAAAGAATCATCAATGATGTTGTATAAATAATCTCTAAATAAAATAGGCCTAGTACACCACTAGAAAGAGACTCTTCCACTGATAAAAGAATAGTTTACTTGAGGTACAACATAACAGAAAAACAAAACAAGAAATATATCAATAGCTGTTGCAAACCAATAAAGTATTAAAATGAGGAAGAGAATTAAACAGCTGTGGCAAAGTTGACGCCACAAGACGATAAAAAATGTTGTTTTAACGTTATTTGTGTTTATTTTTGTGACCTTGATGTGAGTATTAACTTGTAGCTCTTTTGAAACAATCTGGATTGCATGAATGCAGGTATTTATACAAAAATTTAGTATTTAGACACAAACAGGAGACAATTTCAATAAAATTTTGTTAAATTGTAAAAAATTTACTAAATTTACTAAGCACTCCACAGGCCAGTTCCAAGCCTTAGGCATGTGTGTTGATGGTATCCATACAGTGTGCTAAAAAAGTCCCGGAACGGCTTAATATTTTTTTTTAACCAACGTAGATACGGTGGTACAGTTTTGTATCTAGATATTTATCATAAAAACCTACCTTTTTAAGCAATTATCAATTTTCCTCTCCTCCAGGGGGCGGCCCACATAGAGTAAGAAGAAAATCTTTAAAGTAAGCATAGGTTGATATGCACATCAAATTAAAGGTCGTTAAGCAAACGATCAATCCACCAAGTTAGCAAGTAAATCTTAATTTTATTTGTATGATATATAGTGATGATATTCTCACGACAGGTTCATGACAGAAGCCTGGTGTGGAACACTGACCTGGTCGAGACTCTGGAACTGCAGAACTTGATGATCAACGCCATGCAGACTATATTCTCTGCTGAGAACCGCAAGGAGTCCCGAGGAGCCCATGCTAGAGATGACTTTAAGGCAAGAAAACATTTTAAACCTTGATAAAATACAAACATTCAACAGACCTGTTTTGTTGTGTGTTCTGTTTCTGATTGGTCAAAACTTGATACCTAGTTTTACCCATTTTGACTTTTTACAATAACACACAAAAGTCTTTCTAATCTCAATTCCACTAATCCAAGCCAACTGTGAGAAATTGTACAATAATTTTGATGACCACTATGACCAGAAAAAGTTCAGTGAATTGATTGGAAGCTTTTTATGGAATCGGAAAACTTGAAATAATGTTAATAGCCATTGGCTGAAGGTCCATTTATTAACGGCATTCCACTAATTCCCTTTTAAGGCCGATGTGTAAGAAGAAGAACTTTATAACAGAAGATGATCATGAGTGTTGCTTGGATCACGGAAGATGATCACAATGTTGACTTGAAATGATCACGGTGGTTACATGATCATTGAACGTGATATGCGTGTTGTCGTGACCATCACACAGTGTTGTCATGATTGCAAGGGTTGATGTCGTGACCAATAAATGACCATTTGAAGCCATAAGAATAAATAATTTAATTTTTACACAATTTACTGCATTTATGACTAATAAAACCATTTGGTAATCAAATCCAAACAGTGCCTACTCCCAATTAGTTTGGATCAGACCTTGATGTACTGAAGCTTACTGAACACTCTCTTACAGACAACCTAGACAAATAGGTCTAGGTTTAGTATTTTAAAGAATACTCATAGGTATTTTCATCAAAGCAAAGTGTATAGAGTATGTTTAGAAAGTATTCTTGTTGCTAACTAGTGAATGCTGAAATTTTTCTTAAATGCTGAACAGTTTGTAGCTGACTATTAATTCTTAAAAGTAAAATTCAAATGTATATATTTGATCATAAACATCTTAATGTAATCAGTGACTAATGTTGTGTTACTGTGCAGCTAAGGGTTGATGAATACGACTACAGCAAGCCTTTGGAGGGACAGACACCCAAACCTATGGAGCAGCACTGGAGGAAGCATACCCTCACCAAGATGGACATTTCAACTGGAAAGGTACAGTAAACCACACTCAACTACACATGTGTTACTTATCCTAGTGTTGCTCTGAAATGCAATCATTCTGAGTTTGTATCAAGGTTTAAAAATAAATTGAAAATGGTTTGTTTACCAAGTTTCTTTGTTCAATTGAAATTTAAGTAATAAATTAAATAAATAGAGTTCAATTTAATCCAGACTTTTTTATATCTGTCCAGGTGATCTTCGAATACAGACCTGTGATTGACAAGACCTTGGATGAGAAGGAAGCAGCTACTGTACCTCCAGCTATTAGATCTTACTAAGTGTGATCCTTTCAACCTTTAGTATTACACTTCAGTACTTATCGATAAAAATCAGTATTGAACTTCTAATCAAAGCATGAACTGCTGATCGCTTTTATTTATTCAATGTCGCACACTCGAATCTCCAAAGATAAATGAATTGTGAGAGTATTTATTTTTTTAAGGAACGACCTTAGCCGGAATTTTGGAGTGGGGGTTTTATTGATCCGTTTTGTATTAAATTTGTAAATATTCCATTTCCACCATTACACTTTATATTGTGTTGGTTGATTGTATAGATAGTTAAGTGTTTGGTTATTAATAAAAGTGTAATAGCCCATATTTAGTTTTTTTTCCCACCAATTGCTTTATAATAACTGTAGGAAAGATATAAAGTGTAACACAGGTGCAAATTGCCTTTGCGGCACTCAAGAAACTTTCCACACTCGTAAACATTTCTCTCGTGTGCAGCAAAGTGCCACTTCGCCCACTAGTTACAAAATAGTTATTTGTGTAACTAGTGGTGAAAGTGGCACTTTGCTGCACACGAGAGCAATGTTTACAAACGAGCCGCAGGCGAGTGCGGAATGATCTCGAGTGCAGCAAAGGCCTTTTTCACTCGTGTTACACATTATATTTTTCCTACAGTCACTATAAAGCATATAAATAATAATCTTTCAAACACTATACAACACGTTTTTAGGTTCAGCTGGCAACACAAATGGTGCCCTAGAAAAAGTAGTATCCGCGGTCCGTATCACTCCGCTATTTTTTCTCGGCAAGAATTGTGCTCCGCGTTTTGAGAATATAGTTCCGTATGTTTTTGTAATTTGAAGTGGTTTCCACGCCTAAAAAAAAATGCTTTAAAGGTATTTTCTTGTTTATTAAGATCGTAGGCATGTTTTAAAAACGTTTAAAAGAAAAGTTCAGAAAGTTCAGAAATACCGAAACTATAAACACGAAATGACAGGTTAAATCGTAGTTATAATAGTCAATCAGCTGTTCATAGTATTATTATCTTTAAGTGTTGCCAACCTATTTCCAAGCGTACACGGATTACGTGCATAATAGAACCACGCTGTTTTGTGTTGTTTTGTTGGAATCCTGATGTGCGGCAAAGTATAAACCGTACGACAAAGTATAAACCGTACGGCAAAGTATAAATATGCAGCAATTAGCAGCTTTCTGTACTATAAACAGTACAAGGAAGCCAACTTTGTCGGGTGACTGTAGGAAAATAACTATTTCCTACAGTTACCTGACAAAGCGGGTATTCATTTACTGATTATAGCATGCAAAGTATCTAATTGCTGCATTTACTTACGTTTTCTGCACTCATTTTACTTTGTCTCACTCCAGTATTCCAACCAAACAACACAAACACAAAACAGTCTACTTTTATTTGGCGCACTGTACGCTTGAAAATAAGTTGGCAACACGCAAAAATACTATGACTACGATCAGCTGTTGCAGCATTTCTCAGCCTTTGGCTATTGATACTAGGACTTGACCTGTTTTTTATTAACACTTAACATTCTATTTTCGTTCAATGCATGGATTTAACCTAACCTAAAACTTAAAACGTGTTGTTTAGTGTTTGAAAGATTATTATTTATATGCTTTATAAAGTAACTGTAGAAAAATATAATGTGTAACACGAGCGCAAAGTGTCTTTGTCTTTGCTGCATTCTAGAAACTTTCCGTAAACAATCTCTCATGTGCAGCAAGTGCCACTTCGTGCACTAGTTACACAAATAACTAATATAAATAATGTCCTTAATAAGAATTTGATTGTGAAAAGCTAAAAACTTACTTTAATCTTTTCACTTTTAAAAATCAGATCCATCATAGTTTTCTATGAAGTCTATATACAATGTACATGAGGTCTGTTCTAAAGTAGAAAAGATTTATGTCTAAGTCTCAGCCTGAGGATTGTTCTTTATTGTGTAGTGTTTTGGTCCCACAACGACAAAGACCCCATAAATGTAGCCCAGAACATAATTTGTAAATTCCAATCTAGAATCTTTCACTTTGTGATCATGTTGCAGTAAGAGGCTAAAATATTTATTTTCGGCATCTATTAATCTACATTTGTAAGTAATAATGCACAGGATAAAAAAAAATCAACGATATACAATACATGCCTGTGGAGACATTCTCCTAAAATATCCTAAAAACTACCTATTTCAAATATTCCCTAAAGATATGTATACAGGGTAGAATAAAAATCCTGGGACTATTAAATATTTCAAAAAGTAATACAAATAGAGTTTTAAAACATAGTATACAGTTACTGGGTATTAATATTATATTTAATTTCATACCTTGGGTCGAAAATGAGGTTTTGCTGGCTTGAAATAGTTTTTACTTAAAAAAGGAACTTAAAACGATTGAGAGCTGCAAAACCATTTCGGTCCGTGGTACGAACGCAATTTTTCACCACACTATACCCTATTACCACTATTCATCACAATAATAATGCACACTAACAGTCAACTTTAAGGTTATGTGAAGAAATAATTTGAGGAATATGCAAAAATAATAATAAATAGTTGCCAGGCAGTGGTGACAATAAAACAAGTCCATTTCAATGCTATGGATACTGATTGAGTATTTAAATGCATTAATGACAAAATAAAATAAGCAAACAGCTGATTTTCGGCCCTAGGGATGTAAAAACCTGTTCGGCCCCCAAATGGCGAAGACAGCTGGCAACAATACATAGCTTTCGGCCCCCAATAAACATTTGTAAAGCGGCTAAAAACATCGTAGTGTGGTGAAAAATAATTTAACACATAATCCAGTGATGAACTACCTCCTCAGGGGAACGGCCCACAAGGAGTCAGAAGAAAATCTTAAATGTAACGTAAGCATATCAAATTAAAGGTCTTAATTATTAGCAGAATACAATGAAACAAATTTTGATTGCAAGGCAAAAAGAAAAATATGATATTCATTTACCTAAGTTCAAAGATTTTGCTCTAATCAGACAAATAAAACTACTACTGGTAATCAACAATCCTTATATATAATACGTGAAGGCGATTTTTACGAAACACTACTCCTCCGTTAATAATGGACGGAGTTTTACAAACGACGTGTCAAAATAAAGTATTTTTTGTGTAGACGTCCCCTTTCACCAATTCCTGTAATAAAAATCCTCGGGCTTTGCCCCACAGGCCATCAAAGTTGGAGTTTCTCCCATAAGATTAACATGGGGGAATCTAAATATTTAATTTGAAACTTTGTCCCCACTAATTTAAGAGAACGGCTTGGCGTAGAAACATGTTTCAAATATTAATGTGGGACAAGAATTGAGTGAGGTACAGGCCATTAAGAATTTATTGTAAATACGACACAACATGGCGTTTTCCCCAATCTGGAAGAGTTAGAATAATTAACGTTGATACCAAAATATAAGGTTGTTTAATCATTAAAATGTATCTTGCAGTATTTTTAACTTGGTTGTGCGATAAAAAAACACCCTGTATAAAATGGAATTTGCTCAATAAAATCTTACATTAGTATCTTAGCAAATAACAATAATTTTATTGGTTTTAGTCTGTGACAACATGTGTACATAGAGTTGAGACCCAAAAAGACCTCAGAAAAGAGACCCAATAATCTAGTTGTTTGATTTAAAAAGGTTTTAGGTGTGATAGCAAAATAAAGAATTTTTCCAGGGTTTATTTGTCAGTGTTTAAACCTTGGGTCGAAATTATTGAACATACAGTAGTCAACTGGTTTTGATAAGTTGTTATGTTTCGTAAATGAAGGCCAAAATTAAACACGACAGCCAGAAACTCCCACGTTATCATGCTGCACTTTACATATACAAATACTCTGACTGTTTGAGAAGCTCTTCACTGCAGGGATGAAGCTGATATTAAACTCCCACTGCTATTCCTAAATACAGATGTTCAACATGTATCACACGTGTTTTCTGGGAATTAGAACACAACAATTTAATATTTGGATATTGTTATTTACATTTTAACAGTAAAAAATATTTTCAAGCTTAGTTAAAATATTTGTTATATTAAAAGGTTAACAGATTATGATTTGAGTACCAGTGATACATCTTATATCTGTGCCCTAGCAATTGTTTCATGTTAACTGCAACATAGGAAGCATTGTCATAAAATATAATGATATTTGAATATATCTTCTATATAATTAATACGCCAACACGAAATTTGTTCTTTGAACTCCTTTGCCATTTATTACCTGATTTTGACCATCATGTCTCATTGGAAAGAGCGTGTCACATAGATTTGCAAACTGACCTTACTCGCTTGAAAAAGTTCCTTTGGGCTACGTCCCAGTGGCTTTTGAAGTCTTCATGTTATCCTTATGAAGAACAATTTGTTACACTATGATCAGCTGAATAATTTAATTGCTGTTAATATTTATTTTTGAAATTAAAGGAAAAGTAAACCAAAAGAATGCCAATTGAAAAAGAAATGTGACAGACAGGTTATGCAGGAAATTAGGTATAGTTCGGCCGCTTAGAAAACGACCTGCGCTCTAATGCTAAACCAATGCTGGAGGAGGTCGCTTTCTAAGCGGCCGAACTATAGTTCCTCTAGACATTCCATCCCCATGTTAAAGTTGTAGCCAGGTTTTTAATAAAATTTGTCTCAGTTGATGTGAGCCACCTACAGATTGCGCTGATGTAAATTACTGATTTCTGCCGATTACATGATGGTTTTTACCAAGTCAAACTGATGGAATGACTTATTATGAGCTATAGCAACTGTTGTGACCCAGCAACTATGTCAGTAATGAAAAATAATGTACAAAATAGAGTTTTAGACACTAGCGCAATCTGTGACTGGCTCACACAACTACAAAAAATTGGCGACAGCTGATCCATATAGATGGGATGTCTTGGTAGTTCCTAAGTAATGTGAACAAATTTTATTGCTATTTCAAAAAATGACTGAAATGTTTAAAAACATACTGACGACAATGGTGGTACCATGCAGGCTACACTCTCAACTAGGTGTACAATGCACTTGTCTGCTTGCAGTATTGAGCGAAGCTAGCATATTAATCCGATACTTTTCTAAATCAAAGCTACATCTGTTTCTCGTAAACAAGATATATACTTGCAGTATCCAATGTCAATGGTATATTTTTAGCGAATTTCCATATAGGGAAGTAGCTATTACCGTAGGTGGCACGGTAAGACCTAGGCCCGGGACCGCTTTACTTTTGATTTTTATTATATATAGAGAGAGAGAGTTATATATGTGTCTGTGAATGTGATAACTTGAACAATTTTTGTCCTATTTAAATGAAGTTTGGCTCTATAAAATTGGCAAGCACGAATTTTGT